ATTGTCACCAGTCCAGTACAGCATTATTATATCACTGGTGAGGCGGTAATCAGGGACACTGACTGGTGACAGTATGTGAAAAAAATAAAAATAATAACAATTATTGAATTTTGTTTTTTTCTATAATTGTTTTCTTTTTTCTTACTTTTTTTTTACAATTTTTTTCAACACACTCTGACCAGATCAATACATAGTAACATTTTAGTGATCCAGTTTTTTTTTTTTACACATTATGATTGCTAATACCAATGTATTTAATTTATATTTGCAACCATTGTTACTGAATAAAACTGATTCATTCAGTCTTTTATTGTGATTAGCTTTGATTGGGCAAAGCTCATCACATGATACAGATGGGCTGTGATTGGTCCTGTCTGTACCATGTGACTGCTATGACCAATCACAGCTAACAACACAATTGTATACAATGGATGACATGAAAGGAAGCTGTGATTAGTCACAGTGGTCACATGACACTGGCAATGTGCCTGTGTAGAGATCAGTCATATGACGCCCACTCAGAAGAAGGTGTTAAATTAATCATCAAAGCATACCTAATGTTAAAACAATTTTGCTTTCATATTGTTACTGGAAAACAGGCCTTTTACCTATCAACATATGAACAGTAAAATATATGGAAATACGGAAATTACAAATAACCAAGACACCAAGGAGATGGTTTATTAAGTCTCACCAAAGCACTTATTGCAAATTTAGCACTTTATAATTCCATTTGTAAATATTTTCTCATATGCATGTCATTTAACAGCTCTTAATTAGGCACATTTATGTTATTTTGTTTAGGAAGTCCTTATGTGTAAACCTGCCACACCTTTTAACTGAAATATTAGTTTTAACTTTGCATAGATGCCTGCAGACTGAATTATTCATCTACAATTAAGACCAATGTGGGTGAAACATGGTAGAGGGACATGGCCAGCGTGTGTTCAGTGCATGTGCATGCCATATTCTATTATTAATTGTTTTCTATATCTAGGGCCACGGTAGCAAGCTTTATGTTTCAGAAATTGACAGCAAAATATAGAGATTTTGGATATGTTGGAAAAAGGAGTCAATCAGTCATCAGAAAGATGCCAAAATTGTTTGCTTCCCACTGTACATGTGTGTTGCAGTCATATTCATTTCTATGGGAAAGCTGTTGTAATGGCAGTATCCAGCAGTCACTTGGAGCATTTATTTCCTATAGGTAAGGACTGGGCAGTACAAAATGGGTGCTTTTGAAAAAAATTCTGTGCAGCTCCATATGGCCGTCCACTGTGAAGATAGCAGGGTTGGGGCTGAAGGTAAGTATTTATTCTAATGGGACAAACTCATAGGGGTTGGGTAATGTATTTAACGTACAGTTTTCCTTTAACTTCATAAGTCTGGTTGATTATGATTTATTTGTTCACCATTTCATAGTAGAATTAAATATTTATTAATAGTTTATAAACTATATAACTATATAGTGTTTACTAAAGAAAGAAAGAAAGCACCAGTTCCTTAGATTGTTAACATTTTCCCTGCCTTTAAAAAGACTATTAGAACTGACTGTAAATGTAAACGATTGCCAGTAATACCATGATCATTTTTTATTGGTGCTAGATTGTAAGCGTATTTATTTTTTAATTCTTTAAAAAATATATTGGTGAGTCCATTCTGGTCAATGTTCCTTTTACCTTTCTCTTCCATTGTATACACTACAGAGCTAGATCTTGTGCTTTTACAATTAAACAAGTTTATATTGTTGTCATTATCATCATTGATGCTCAGTTTTTATAGGTCAGTATGACTAAAAGAACGTTGTCTTCCTCTGTCACATTGGTCATTCTTTTCAGACTTGCATTGGTCCTAAACACACTAAAGGGGTCAGAGGTATGTATGACCCAACCATTAAACTGACCTTCCACATTCAGATACTTTATACAGACATACCATTTTTCTCTCTTCTTTTCTTAAACCACTTGACCAGGGCATTTTTTTTTCTATCCAGCACTGTACTACTGTAACTGGCAATTGCTCATTCATGCAACACTGTACTAAATTGAAATTTACATTATTTTTTTCACACAAATAGAGCTTTTTTGGTGGTATTTGATCACCAATTTTTATTTTTAATATATAAACAAAAAATACCAAAAATTAAAAAAAAAACAATATTTTCTGTTATAAAACATATCCAATAGAAAGATCAAACAATCAGATTTCTTCATAAATTTAGGCCAAAATGTATTCTGCTAGATGACTTTGGTAAAACAAAAATCCCAAAGATTGTATATTAATTGGTTTGTGCTAATGTTACAAACTATGATATGTATGTATGGTATGTATACTGGAATTTACGCGGCTATGATGCTACACTGGTAATGGCGGTGATCCGCGACTTATGATGGGACTGTGGTAGTGTGGTGGGCAGTCTGGCACTCATACCCTCGCTGAAAGATACACTAACTGACTAACTGGCATCAATAGTAACACTAATACAATGATCAGATATAATACTGTACACGGTCACTGTACTCATGACACTGGCTGGGAAGGGATTAACATGAAGGAGAATCAAATGGTTAACTGTGTGCCTAACAAGTGTAATGTGTGTGATATGTGCTGCTTTTACTAAGAGATCTGGCTGTTTTTCTTTCTGCTTTGCAGAGAGAAGAAGCAGCCACATCGCTGATCTGTGTACAGTCCTGTGTTGTTTGTGCTGTGATTGAACACAGCTGATCAGCAGGTATCAGTCAAAAATCATTGGCTGGAACCTGCTGAAAAAACCCTGCTGTGTCTAACTGTAGCGTTGCTCAGCAGGGGATGGGTACCCCAAACCTGAAAGCAGATTTGCAATGTTTATTTACATTGCTGAGCCTGTATTATTAATCATAGAATGGATTCTATTCAGTTCTACTGTTAAAGCAGAATGTTTCATGTACTTCAGATCAGTATGTTTTTCTCTCACTGCAAAACTGTGTGATGTCATTTGAACATCTTCTCCACACTCTGCTGTATTATAAAAAAAGTAGTTTTGACATATGGTTTAGGGTGCCATGCTTTAAGCATAACTATATACTGAGAAGTTACTAGGATTGTGAAAGACAAGAGCACCGTGGGGCACATCGAGGCTAGTGGGTGATGCCAGATACCACCTAACAGTGGGAGTGGCTTAAAGGGGAAGGTTAAAAAGAAATCCTCCTTGCTGTATACACTGCTTATAAATGCCACAGTCTTAGTACCCATCATGACATACTTTAGTTGCAGTACCACATTTGGTCTCACAGGCACACCTAAACCTCAGGTAAAAGGATATTAAGGAAAAAAAGAAAATTCTCAAATACATCTGTGGTTCTGCATTCAGAGATATAACACTTTGTCTGCGCCTACCTTATAATAATTATTAAATTGTTGACACTTAGCAAAGAGTATGCAATGTTCAACATAGTATGTACAGTACAGTGGTCAGGACATACCTTAACAGATAACATCAATATAGGGTGCAGCAGTTAGGACTGTAACTTACAACATAGCATGTACAGTGCAGCAATCAAGACTGTGTAACATATAGTATGGACCAAACTTCGACCATTCAAGTGTTTGAACATCAAACCTTTTATTTGTTTAGGGTGAGTCGAACGCAATGTATAATAGTGGTAGAAATAGCATTACTATACATGACAGCTTACTTACTGACACTGATTTATTGGCCAAGTAAACACACTTTCATCATAATTGACATGGATCTGCTTAGCTTGATGAAGTAATTGATAGTGGATTTACAATGTTGGACTTTTTAATAATGTTTAATGTGTTTATTTATTTTCCTTTTTTTGTAAATGAGTAGGAGTACTTGCTCATTTACAAAGAAGGGAGACTGCAAGGGAGCATTTGGGGGAACCCCGTATTGCTAAATGGTGTTTCCAGATTTCTATAAGCCCCCCCACCACAATCCATGGGCTAGGGTTGTGGGGAAGAGAATTTTGTCCTTATAAACATCAGGACAAGATGCTTTGCAAGAGGGAGTCCCCTGGCAAAGTGCCCTCCTCATATTGATGTGACCTGGTAGGGTTCAGAGAGAGGGGACTTGCATGCGTGTCCCCCCCATTTCCTGGCCTGCTAGTCTGCGTGCTTGGATAAGGGTCTGGTATGCTCCCCACCAAATTATTATTATTATTTTTTTTTTGCTTTGGTGCATACCCCCCAGAGGGTAGTCTCCTTTGCCATTTGGTTGAAAATCTCTTGCCTATTAGCCTAGAAAATGGCCATTACTGTTTTATAACATTCAGCTTCCATTGGCCTCTACTGGTTTGGATTCAGCACTCAAACTTTACTCATGTTCTGCAAACCTGCCTTGAACAGAACCTATGTACATTCATCACATAATTGATACCACTACTATGAAATAGGTTTAGAAAAGGAACTAAATAACACAGAAATAGAGCATAGCTACTGTGAAAGGCTATCGATAATTTCTATAGAATTTTTTACTAACTATATACTGTACATTTCAACAAAGAGCTGCTTTCTGTTTTATAACTACTCTTTCTAAAAACTGATATAAAAAAATAATTTTGTATAGTGGCACTCTGCAGAGGGAGACAGGTTATCTAAAGATATCATTTGGAAAATGGTGGTATGTTTTTTCCATGAAGTTCTTAGTTTAGATCAGGGGTCCTCAAACTTTTTAAACAGGGGGCCAGTTCACTGTCCCTCAGACCGTTGGAGGGCCGGACTATAGTTTAAAAAAAAAAAAACTATGAACAAATGCGGACACAGTACAGGAGATGACCAGAGACTGCAGACATAGTACAGGAGATGACCAGAGACTGCGGACATAGTACAGGAGATGACCAGAGACTGCGGACACAGTACAGGAGATGACCAGAGACTGCGGACACAGTACAGGAGATGACCAGAGACTGCGGACATACAACGGCGGCGGGAATACTAGGCTGGCCGCTCCATAAGACGCACTGATATTTCCCCCCAAGTGTGTCTTATGGAGCAAAATAGTGCCCCATCATTGGTGTCAGTGGGAAGAATCGTGCCCCATCATTGGTGTCAGTGGGAGGAATAGTGCCCCATTATTGGTGTCAGTGGGAGGAATAGTGCCCCATCATTGGTGTCAGTGGGAAGAAACGAGCCCCATCATTGGTGTCAATGGGAGGAATAGTGCCCCATCATTGGTGTCAGTGGGAAGAATCGTGCCCCATCATTGGTGTCAGTGGGAAGAATCATGCCCCATCATTGGTGTCAGTGGGAGGAATAGTGCCCCATCATTGGTGTCAGTGGGAGGAATAGTGCCCCATCATTAGTGTCAGTGGGGGGGAGGAATAGTGCCCCATTGTTGGTGTCAGTGTGGGGGGGGGAATAGTGCCCCGTCATTGGTGTCAGTGGGGGAAGGGGATAGTGTCCCAACATTGGTGTCAGTGGGAGGAATAGTGTCCCATCATTGGTGTCAGTGGGAGGAATAGTGTCCCATCATTGGTGTCAGTGGGAAGAATAGTGCTCCATCTTTGGTGTCAGTGGGAGGAATAGTACGTCATTGGTGTCAGTGGGGGGGGGATAGTGCCCCGTCATTGGTGTCAGTGGGGGGGGGGGGATAGTGTCCCAACATTGGTGTCAGTGGGAGGAATAGTACCCCATCATTGGTGTCAGTGGGGGAAGGAATAGTGTTCCATCGTTGGTGTCAGTGGGGGGTGGAATAGTGCCCCATCGTTGGTGTCAGTGGGGGGGGAGGAATAGTGCCCCATCATTGGTGTCAGTGGGGGGGAAGAATAGTGCCCCATCATTGGTGTCAGTGAGGGGAGGAATAATGCCCCATCATTAGTATCAGTGACATCAATGACGGGGCACTATTCCTCCCACTGACACCAATGACACTTAACTTGCTGACCCCTGTTCCAGCATGGTGCTGCTGCAGCCAGCATACCTGGTTGCAGCAGCACCATCTGCACGGCACACTTACCTGTCAGCTGTCCTTCTTCACTCCGGCCTCTCCCTCACTTGATGTTTGCGGGGTCGCTTGGCTCCTGTCAGGTGATTGGCTGCCTGTGTGCCTTTCCTGAGCTACAGTTCTGGTGCCCAATCACCGGTGAGGAGGCGGGGCAGAGCGGCTGCAAGAACATCGAGTGAGGGAGTGGCTGGAGTGAATGAAGGAGCAGCGCTTCCTGGACTGGATCGTCCTGGCACTGGGACATGGAGCCAGGTAAGATACAGCAGCCCCCTGCCCGTCCCTGTACTTAGTGTCCCTTCCTCACGGCAAATATGCCCCTGCCGGCGGGCTGGATAAATGTCCTCGGCGGGCCGCATGTGGCCCGTGGGCCATAGTTTGAGGACCCCTGGTGTAGATGGTATACTCATACCAAAAGTTGGATAAAGTTTCATGCAAAAACATATATGTCAATCTCTCTTCATTCCACCATTATAATAGCATAGGGCTGTCATAACGAAGTAACTCTCAATGGCACAAAACTCCATGACTTCTTTTGGAAGTTATACACATTTTAGTGCCTTCAGCACCTACCTCCTATTGTTTGAGAAATGTGCAGATACATTTTAGCCAGACATGCAGCATATTTATGAATCAAGATTCACTATGCCCTTGCAAATAACATAATTACACACTGCAGCACGTAATCTAGTGATAGTATCAATGCAAATGAATAATCATATTTGGCAAATGTGGCATACTTAGCTTTTTCACAGATCCAAACTACTGTAAAAACCAGAATAGATTTACAGCTGCTTTAAAATATTTTGGAAGTGCATTCAATTATTCTATTGTTACAATGTCCAGTGGCTTGAACATGCTGTCCATATTAAAAATGAAACAGTTTAGCAAACAGGAAATACTGTAATTGTGTCTGAGTCATGTTTAAAGAAATTTTAGATTGAAATGCTAATGGGTCATTGGAGAGTGGGACAAACCCTTAGTATGTTTTAGTGGGAAAAATGTATAAGACATTAGACAAAGACAGACGATCTCCTCATGACAACAATTAGGTGCTGGTAAAACATTACATATGGAAAAAAGCATATTCTAAAAGCTGGCAGGCATATTACAATAGAATAGCACTGAATTGCCCTTAGTAACTTGTGTCCTTAATAATAAGATGTCAAATTTGAATTTTGTAAAACAAATAATTTCCACTTTGTATCCACTAGAGAAGAAACTCAGGAATATATTTATAGAGAGATTATTTGATTAATTATAACTATTAAATTCCATTCTAGTTCTCTGAGGATTGTTTCGTACACGTGTATTACACATGTTAGGCTATATTCAAATGTCCTCAAAATATACATTTTGTAAGAATTGTAGGGTTGAGTTTTAGAGTATATAAATAAAGTATTTTGAGGCAATTTGAGTTTACTGCTTTAACTGGGAACAAACAGGATTCTATGCCTACCATTTTGGATTTTTTTTTATCTATTTATTAAAATTTTCAGTGAAAACAAACAGTAAACACTTACATAACAGAGCCTCTGGGCATTCCCTGGCTCGAATTTCACTTCTAACATAGATTACTAACAAAAACATTTCAAAACAATTGGTATCGTAAAACGGTACTGATACTGTGGTACAATTGTCTCCACCATATTACCCAAACATATTACCCAAACATAAAAAAATAAAGGAGACCAGTGAAACTGCTTCCGCACTACTGCAAAAGATCTATAAAACTACTCAGTGTGCCACGGCTTCCACATGGTCAGAAGTATAGCAGTATAACAATTACATATTTAATGAGTTTATGATGATACATTAGTATTAGAGGACTCAGTCCATACATGCCATACTTTGTGGAACTTAACCAGGCAGCCTTGAGACTCATATGTGGCTCTGTATAGGGGGATGGAGGCATTAACTAAGGACTTCCAGAAGTCAAACGATGGTATCTCCGGCATCTTCCATTTCAGCACTATGGCCTTTCGCGCATAAAATAGGAGCAGGCCAAGGAGGGTCTTAGTTATTCCAAAATCTATGAATCTCAGAGCAGGTCCAAAACATATGTATGAAGTCAGCATCTCTTTGGATACATTTCCAGCAGTGGGGGTAGGCCCCTGGATAAATTCTATTTAAATGCTGGGGCACATAATATGGCCTGTGTAACATCTTAAACTGTATAAGCCTATCCTTACCAGTTGCTGAAATGGGTATTCCCAGATATCCTCACAGTCTTCCGTATCCAGGGGCGGACTGACCATTTGTAAACTCAGGCACTGCCCGAGGGCCCGGGGTCAGTAGGGGCCCCCGTGAGATGCCCCTGGTACCTTTTTCATAGGCTTTTTTGAGTTTGGGCAAGGACACAGGGGCTCCATGATCCCCTATTGCCCAGGGGCCCCATAAGTTGTCAGTCCGCCCCTGTCCGTATCCATTTGTGGAAAATTAACCTGCCACTTAGCATGTAGACCCTCCAGACCCATATGAATGGAAGGTAGTAAGACTTTTTATAATGGAAGAAAAAAGTGTCTCTAAGTGCAGTATGTCAAAACATTTATTAGGGAGCAATGTAAAGCACTCACATGGTGAAAAAGGTAAGAAAGCTCAGGTAAGTAAGGTAATGGCTGAGTCCTCGCTGCAATAGCCGCGTCCAAGCTAAGGGAGACTGTGGATGTCACAAAAAGCCGGCCGGCATGTGAAGTCTCTGAAGATGGTGTCTAAGGGTGCACCTTGGAGTGCAACGTTGGCGTCAGTGTGATGACATGGGAGAGACTAGCATGCAAAGTGACGCATTTCAGAGCATACGTTAAACCACTAGATGGCAGATGGCTCCCTTCTCAAGCATCTGTTTCCCTTGACATTAGGATTTGGGGAATCTGTATGTACTGATTTTTTGTTTTTTGTTTCTTTAGTAAGGCTTTATATATCTGAGAAAGAGGTTTAGTCAAGGATTCTTCTTAAAGTAGGGATTCCACGTCAGACCTGTCAAGGGCCAGCCATGTCCAACCAAACCAAGAGGAGAAGATGTGTTGAATCTGGAGGTAGCGGAAAAAGTGGGTGTTAGTTAGGCCAAACTTCAGCTTCAGAATATCAAAGGACCTAAGGGTACCCCCTTCACATATGTGCGCCAAGGTCTTGAATCCATAGGAAGCCCACACCCTCAGATCAGGTATTGACAAGAATTCGGGAAGTCGTGGATTAAGCCATAAAAGTGTATCAGGGTACCAGGTGTGAGTGGTGTGAGATTGTTTGTCTAGTACCCCATTGCCATGCTCTGACCATTTTTCTATTTTATATCTGAACTTTAAAGATTAACTTTAAAGTATGCCAGTTTCGACTGCTATCTTTCATCCTTCAAATTTCATATATAGTAATAATTTCATATCTCAGATCAGCAGGCCATCTACTCTAAGGACAGCAGCCTACAGTGGCCCAGGTGGCCTTCTATGCCTTCCATTGAGCTGACAGGCCATAATTTTCACCACAAACCCAAACAGAGAAACTGTTAACTAGAAGGATATGTGCAATTAGACATATTTTTATGTTAGAGTCTATGGAGAAAAAGATGCACAGTGGCATGCTAAGTGTATAAGTGTTTGAAGTGGATGATCCACCACAGTCATCATGACTAAGCGTCATGGAGGAATTTGCTGACTGATCTAAGATCTAGAATAAGCACTTGACAAAGTATGTGGAGAGGTAGGGGTGTGGGGCAGTTAGCCCCAACATGATATACAGTAAAATGTTGTTATTCTTTCACTGCATTACATAATTCACAGCTTAAAGTGAACATGTGACCAGATTATTCACATTAAAGTATTTACTGTACTTATTCTGAACAGACAGTTCAGGGAACACTCTTGTTATCTCAGAAGAAAGAATAACAGAAGGCAGAAACTAAGCTGGGAAGTATGCTTAGAAATCTTGACCTTGAAGTCCTCAAAAAATATGAAATCAGCATGTTTCTGAGCTGGCCAAATTCAATTAATAACTGAAGTATAATTTCTGAATGCAATGATCCTTTAATGGACTTAAAATTCTGATATGAATGTACAATATATATATGTAAAGTGCTGCAGAAATTGACGGCGCTTTACAGGTGAAACTCAAAAAATTAGAATATCGTGCAAAAGTTCATTTATTTCAGTAATGCAACTTAAAAGGTGAAATTAATATATGAGATAGACTCATTACATGCAAAGCAAGATAGTTCAAGCTGTGATTTGTCATAATTGTGATGATTATGGCTTACAGCTCATGAAAACCCCAAATCCACAATCTCAGAAAATGAGAATATTGTGAAAAGGTGCAATATTCTAGGCTCAAAGCAAGATAGTTCAAGCTGTGATTTGTCATAATTGTGATGATTATGGCTTACAGCTCATGAAAACCCCAAATCCACAATCTCAGAAAATTAGAATATTACATGCAATCAATAAAACAAGGATTGTACATAGAACAATATTGGACCTCTGAAAAGTATAAGCATGCATATGTACTCAGTACTTGGTTTGGGCCCCTTTTGCAGCAAATACTGCCTCAATGCAGTGTGGCATGGAAGCTATCAGCCTGTGGCACTGCTGAGGTGTAC